TCATTTTTAATGTCCTTTTAGGGGGCATGTATAAATAATAATCAATCAGAGATGTGACCATGTTAAGGAAGTTGTAAGACTATGTTTGTAGTGTAAATACATAATTTCTGAAAAGACAAGCTTTTAAATGGCTTTGACCTGTGACCTGAATTAATCTGAGCAGTTAGTGCACTTCACATTCAGTGCCACTGATATCAATTTGGATGTTCAGAAAAAACCACAGAGCATACCATATTCTCACTATAGCCCTTGACTGTTTACTGCTGTGAGAGGCAATATATGTTGTATGCCATGCATGCATTTAGTGTCCCACATGGTGCTGTTATATCAGCCCACAAAATAACCACATCTGTACTTACCTTTAAATATCAAATTTTGCATCGATACAATCACCCCTGTATTGTGCAGCAGCAATGACTTTACTGTGCAACAGAAAGTTGTTCTCTTTACACCCAGCTGCATAAAAAACAAATCACAAAATGCAATGTCAGTTTTTAAAATTCAATGCAAATTTTAACACAACTACGGGTGACATCATAATACCAATGCGCCTTCATAACCAGTTCGGCTGGCATGCAGCTCATTTTGCCATAGTGGCTGTGACATTCCTGCAGCAAACTGTAATGGCTTGCTTTGTGACATTGGCATCTACTTTGTGAATCATGTTGGGCAGGCACCAATCCTTGCTAATCAAAATGGATTGGTCAGAGCAAACATGTCCAGACACTGAGCTGATTTCATCTATGAAATAACTTAACCACCCCACACGCTCACTGAATGAAGTCTTCATATTACTTTGCGTTCTTCTCCATGCAATGGCTTGCGTTTGATACCCCACCACGTTAACTCAATACTGAGTGCACCAACATACCTCACGCGCCTGTACTAAAGTTGGCATATCCTTCAAGCTACAGGCACGACTCTCCCCGCCCCTTAAATCGCAAGATTAAGGAGTTACCCAGAAGAAACGGATGCAAAATGCGATGGACTTTGTGCTCATTAAAAACACTATCGCGCCACAACTGTAGTTGAGAAGATGACGTATTGCTACCAAATAGAGAAAGTGAAGTTTTTTTAAAATGAACTTTTCATCCCGTCTGACGACGTGCTTGTCCCGAAGTCTTACCCCTCTTAGCAAATGCGATTGGCTGCAATTTAGCGACGACGCCTACCTGGGACGGCATCTCTAGTTTTGGGTGATTCGGTGGCGTTGCGCTTTGAAGCGTTTTGCGTATGAATATAAAACAGACGCGAGTCGTTGTCGACGTTCCGGCGAAAGTCTGTAGTCCCGATATGGCCCTTTAAATATGTTGCAAATCCTCGCGCCGATGAAGTATGGAGCATGCCAGGTTAAGCTCATCTTGCATCGGGTGCCCACAGCATCAACGCCATACCTTAACCTTAAAGGTGTTGAACATCATGGTACTCATGGGGAGTCGATTTCTTAAAATGATTGGAGATGGCGGCAGGTTCGTGGAAGTCGCCATAAGGGGAGAGTCCGAAGAGCTTGTCACATTTTGTGCCTTGTTCTGACAATCCATCACACCCACACACCCACACTCACACCCACACGCATACCCACCCATTCACACACACACACACACACACACACACACCCACACACACACACACACACACCCCACACACACAACCACACACCACACACACCACACACACACACACCACACCACAACACACACACACACACACACACACACACACACACACACACCACACCACACACACACACACACACACACCACACACACGCACACGCACACGCACACGCACACGCACACGCACACGCACAACCACACACAACACACACACACAAACACACCACACACAACACCACACACACACACACACACACACACACACAACCTACAAAAGAAGTGCTACATAGGACTCACTTGATATCGAGGGAAGCCCTGCCCTTCTTAATGGGAGTGTTCCTCATTTGTATGAGGTTCTGAACTGAAATAGCTATCTTAAGGATCATTTGGTGCCGTTCACGGTCCTGCCCTTCTCAAAACTAAAACGGCGCTAGTTTCTGAGCTGCACGCCCGCGAAGATGTACAGACTATTTCGAGGAGACTACTCTACGCTCACCCAGGCACCGGTGAGGTCATAATAAGGTTTTTTTTCTTCAAATTATGTCATTCAATTAGCCATACGGTGATCAAATATGACCTTTGGTTCGTTCATATCTGGCATTCACGAGCACGATTTCCGGATGAAAAGGCCGTCAGTTAGCTCTCAATTAATGTTGTGCAAGGTATGATGACGCTATCAAACAATGACGTATTGAGGATATTTACTAAGCAGAGAGACTGTGTTGCCTGGAGCAGCCTTTTACAACTAGAAATATACCAATAGTAATAAGTGGGCTTACTACATCATCCATGGTGCGTGATTCAATATCATCAAATGTCAAACATTACCCTTAATGTACATGGCTCATTAGGGTCGATTATATGAATGTGATTAGTGCCTTAATGTGCCTTTGATTTATGCTAACTCAGAATCGTTTACATGTACGAGTGATGCCCGACGCGCAATGCGCGATTCCCGTTTGATTGAAATCGTTTTCATCCATGAGTGATGCATGATATGTGATGTCCGTTTAAATAAAATCGCTTGCATTTATGAATGGCGCGTGGTGAGTGATGTCCGGTTTCTTGAACTCGTTTGCATCTATGCGCGTGTTCGCGCATTATTATTCCTAGTTGGATATACCCCGTGTTGTGGTTACGGCTGGAAATTG